GTACTACAATTCAGTGATTTTTAGTACATTTATAGAGTTGTGTAACCAGCACCCCAATCCAGTGTTAGAACATCAGGCCGAAAAGGTCCCTGATGCTCATTTGCAGTCATTTCCTACTCCTACCCCAGCCTTAGCCAACCACTAATCTGTTTTCTGTCAATAGATTTGCATTTTCTAGATATAACATTTCAAATGACCTTTTTTTTTGCTTTACCTCACGTTGGTTTCTGTTATCAGCTACCAAAGAGGCGTCTCTAACTCAGCAGAGCCAAACACTAGATATTTTGGCATAAAGCTTCTAAATCTTTTTGTTTTATGCACATACACATGCCCTTGCATTAAACAACTTTTTTTCATGTACTAATTTTTAAAATGAACTGTGATCAGGCTGTATATCTTGATCTATAATCTATAAATTTTTTTTCTTTAAGTGATAACAAACAGCATTTCAAGTTATCAAACATTTAAAAAACACCATGTATGATAAGATTTCATTTCATTATAGGAGTGTACCATAATTAAACAAATCCCCTTTGTTTTTATTTTTTCCTATTGTAAACAATACTGTATTGAACATTCTTGAAGCTAAATCTGGATGCATATCCATGACTATTTAGAATACATTCCTAGAAGTAGAATTGCTGGATTAAAGGGGATACAATGTCTCAAAGTGCAATCAATAGTAATCATAATGCCTATTGTTTACTGAGTGTTTCTCATATGTAGGCACTATTCTAAGAGCCTTGAACAACTCAGAAATGTATTTAAATCTCAACAGCTCAGTGAGGTGGGTACTATTATGATTCTCATTTTTTCCAGTGAAAAAAACTGAGGCACAGAGAAAGTGCCTCAAAATAACTTGCCTAAAATATCACAGCTTGTAACTGGCAGAGCCTCACAGTCTGGCTCCAGAACCTTTAACCACACAAAAAATTTTTTTTAATTTCTAATTCAACCCATTGTACTCTGCCTACAATTCCTACTTTTGTTTTGAGTAGACAATTTGTGAGAGGTTCAAGAAGAAATTCCAAAGCAGTTGGAAAACTACACTTCTCATTTTCAAAACTTACTACAAAGCTGCAGTGATTAAAGCAGTATGGTGATAGCATAAGGACAGATATTATCAAACAATGGAATAGAATTGAGCCCAGAAATAAACACTTATAATCAACTGATCAATAAGAAAGGAATGGTTTTTTTAGCAAATGGTGTTAGAGCAATGGAATGTTCACATACAAAAAAAATTAAATTTGTACCCTTACCTCACACCATACAAAAAGTAACTCAATCATTGACCTAACTGTAAAAACTAAAACTTTTTAAAACTCCTGGAAGAAAACATAAAAGTAAATCTTAATGGGTTAGGCAATGGTTTCTTAGATACAACACTAAAAGCACAAGTGATATAAGAAAAAGTTAATAAATTGGACTTAAAAACATTCACACTTCAAAAGACACCATCTAAAAGTGAAAAGATAACCCAGAGACTGAGAGAAAAAATTTGGAAATCATGATTCTGATAAGGTACTTATATAGCGAATATATAAAGAACTTTTACAGGCCAGCTGAGTGGTGCGTTGGTTAGGAGTTGGCTTGGGACACCAGCTCTGAGCAGCAGGGCGTCAGTTCAGATCCCACATTAGGGCCAGTGACGCTGCACCCTCTATAGCTAAGATGGTGAACAACAGCTCGACCTGAAGCTGGGCTGTCGTGAGTCACCGGTGATGGCGTAGGCTGCCGTGAGGCTGCAGTTGGCTGCAGTGAGGCTGCAGTGGGCTGCTGTAAGCTACTATGAGTGACCAGCAGCCAGCGTGAGCGGCCAGCAGCTGGCATGAGCTGCTAAGAGCCGCCGTGAGCAGCCATCCAGTGGCCGGCGACCGATCTGCCTCNATAATCATGTAACAGGGCATGTAGTGGCAGAACTGTGCTCACTCCTTTGGAAGTGGTATGGGGGCTGAGAGGAACGTTCTGGGAGCATTCACTACTTTCTTCTCTTACACTAGGTGCCTTCCATACATTGTGCAAGGAATCATTTTTTTTATTTAACCTCCTTATTGTAAAATGTAGCATTTGTACAAAAGAGCTTATACATTGAATATGGCTGAGGTAAAGAATACAATGACACGGACACTCTCGGGATCCTCACTGCAGCTCTGTGAAGTCTAGGTACACTCTCATTCTACACATTGTAGAAACTGAGGCTGATACATGTAGAGATGTGCCCGCTGATATATGTGGCCGAGGAGGCTGAGTTCAAAGCCAGGTGTGTTCACTTCTGAACCTGTGTGCACTCTCTACTACCCACCCTATCCTGCCTCTCTTCTTTTAATATATGTACTTAGAAAAGATGATGTTTATTTTGATATTTTTCTAAAATTCACTTTTATTTTTATGATCTGAACATGTGGTACCTATGGTAATATCTTTGTCTTGTTTTTTTGTTTATTTTGCTTTTTTCATAGCATGCAGGTGTAGCTGTAAGTACAGACTGAACAGCTTGGTGTGCGTTAATTCCAAAAGGCACATGGTTTGAATATCCATTTATCTCTTTTCTACAGGCATTGACCTGTCTGAGTGCCTGCAATACCCAGACTTCAGTGTTGTTGTCCTGTATAAAAAAGTCATCATTGCCTTTGGCTTCATGGTTCCCGACGTGAAGTACAACGAAGCTTACATTTCATTTCTGTTTGTCCATCCTGAATGGAGAAGAGCAGGGATTGCAACATTCATGATTTATCACCTGATTCAGGTATTTTGTCTGCGCTCATCATCTGCCTCCTTGTCTTAGGGATTTTTGGAAAGACTTGGAGGAGGGGAGAAGCTGCGCAAGGCCCTCCCAGCATGGCCCCGTGGAACGTGAGACCAAGCGAAGGAAAG